ATAGATAGATAGATAGATAGATAGATAGATAGATAGATAGATAGATAGATGATAGATAGATGTGGGGAAGGATATAGGATTATAAATGTGAGTTGAGTAAAAATTGTATTGAACTCATGCTTTTAAAGCTATTTTCCAGAATCAACCAGCTCGTTCTTATCTTCTAAGTGGCACACTATATATCTCTATTGAAAAAACACATTCATCTCTTCCTCTGAAAAACAGGAGGTTATCTCTCAGTTCCCTCAACCATGAGAGGATAAATGTCTAAACAAACTGAGCTGCTTGAATGTTCATATCCATTATAACAACTTGTACCGAGCAAAGGAGTTACTGTACCTGACATTACCCAGAGAATAAAATAAAATGAGCACGCTTTTTCACTAAAATGAAGAGTTCAACCCATTTGATAAGTCAAGTGTGCTATCTCTGCAAAAATAAACCTTTCCACAGTCTTTCTTAAAAAGAAAGAAAAAAAAAAAACCACACAATGCTATAATACCCAGCAGACTTTCCACTCAATTAGCCACTAATAGAAATATTAAAAAGAGGTGCTTGAGGGAGGAAGCTAAAGCTCGAAATTTGATACGTGACATTTGGGATTAAGTTCTTCTGCCTTTTAGAGTATTCATTCATTGAAGTACATGTTTTATTCAAAATAGATCTAATCAAAAGTTCAACTAAGAGTGTGCTAGCCATATGAGCCATATGGCGAACACACTGGATTCTGATGCCTAATTAAAATAGGAGTAGCTTAGCCTTAACATACTCCTGGAAACTGTCCTTACTATGAAAAAATCAGTGACTTGCAGATTCTTTCATGGCAAGAGACTTGATCAGTCACAAGATCAGACTCGAGCCAGTTTCAAAAACCTCTTGGTTGGAGGAAACTTAAGTAGAGTTTTAAAAACAACAATTCCTCTAAGGAATCTAGTACTCTTAATCAGATGTATATGTTTAATTTGCATTTTAATTCTCAGAGATAGTCTGCCTTTGTAGCATGAACTCAGATTAGAACAGAGAGATGGGAGGAGGCTATGCTGTAAATCCCAGCAGTTTCTAAATCTCACCTTTCCAAATGGTCACTCCACATCAAGGTTGAGGAACACTGGCAGGGTAAGGAGGTGGAGCTGGATGCATAGTTGTTTGTGTGGTACCTGATCTGTGAACAGACAGAGGATTTCACAGCACACTTCTTTGAGTATTTTGAAAGGAAAGCAAAACCAAAAGGTGCATATCAAAGCCACTTTGGCTATGATGAATAAGGATGTTTTAGATATCACCTTCCTAGGATCACCTCATTTCTACTTCCAAGCTTTGACTCATACTTATTTCCTCCGACACTTAGACATCAAATACCACTTGCGAGCCGAGACCATGTCTGATATGACTGGGGAAGTTATCACAGCACTTGTTAAACACTGAATAAGAACTCATTGACCTCAAGTGACTGCTGAAGAGAAATCTAATTCAACCACCCTCCAGCTGATTATTTTTCGTGATTTCCCATTGCTCTGGGATAAAGACTAGAATTCTTAACATGACATCAAAGGCTGTTTTATCTGGCCTCAGGACAAAACTTCAGCCTCTTTTCAAACTTTTTGCCTTTTTGGTCTTCTGTGCTTAGGCTATACCAGCCATCTTCGAACATTAAGAACAGTGTCATCCTCCTTTATACCTCAGGGTCTTTGTACTTGCACTTTCTTCTGCCTGGAGTATGCTTCCATTTCTTCATCACCTGGCTAAGTTCTACTCATCTGATAGATCTCAACTTGGAGAATCACTTCCTTGGAGAACATCCTGTTGACTAGGACTGGTCCCCCACTATACGACATCTACTATTTTTTTCTTTCAGGAACTCATGTTGTATGAAACGTATAGTTATGTGTGTGATTATTTATTGAATATGTGTCATTGTACCTAAGCTATAAGCTTCATGAGAGCAGGAACCATGCCTGGTTTTGCTTACCACTGAGTCTCCAGCAGCTACCACAGTGCCTGGCACAGAAATCATGGTGGATAGGCATTTGTGGCCTGAATGGACAATGCTGCACAGCCAGTCCTGAGGCCCATCCTTCAACAGCATTCTCCATGTTACACATCTCCTAAATTCATTGGATGTTACAGCCAAAAAACTATTCCTTTTTTTAATATATAAATTTCTCAGTAATTGTCTTTAAGAAAAAGACAGAATAAAATTAATTCCTCATAAAAATTTGTTACAAGAGAAAGGAGAAAGAAATAAAATCCAATGTTTCTTCAGTCTTTTTAAATTGGCTTCTTAAGGTTTTATTTTATCTCTCAAAAATTTAATTAAGATTATCTTAAGCAACATGGCCATCTTAAGTGGCATGGCCTTACACAAGCTGTCCAGACAGACATATAGTTTTCCAGTTCTTAACTGTGTTAAGCTAATGGATGATTTCTGTTTTAGGCAGGCAGTGCTGTGTGAAGAATCATAAAATGCCATGTCTTCTTTGCAGCAGAAGTTACACTTTGACCAATACCTATTCCACAGCAAACAGAAAACATTTAGTGGCAATTCGCACAGACATTTTATGATTCTGGAAGAGTGGTCAGACTTGGAGGAGAAAGGAAAACAGGTTTTTGGGTTTTTTAACATTTTTTTTCTGCAAGACTTTCAAAGCCCCCTTTGTACTCTTACGTGAGAAGATTCTCCATCTGCTAAGGAATGATCTGGTTAGGATAAGTTCTCACCTTAGCTGACCACTAGGTTCCTCTTCCTGCTTTTATGTTGCTTGGTTCTTATTTAGAGTCCTGCTTTAACTAAGGAAATGCCCTTGGGCTTGCATTATTTGTTGGCTAAACTTTAGAAGCAGACTACAGCTGTAGGAATTTCGATATCACATACCTGTACAATGCAAATAGCAGGAGATTAAAAAAAAAAAAAAACCTAAAAGAAGAAGCACTGCAAGGTAATTTGTCAAGAGCCAAGAGTTCTGAAGCATATGTTTCCCTAGAGGCACGGTCTGTGGAGCACAGAGGATTTTTAGGGCTCTGAAACTAATCTATGATTCCATAATAGTGGACATGTCATTATACATTTTTCCAAACCCATGGAATGTACAACAGCAACAGTGAACCCTAATGTAAACTATGGACTTTGGGTAATAATGCTGTGTCACTGTAGATTCATCAACTGCAATAAATATACCACTCTGGTAGGGGACATTGATAATGGAGGAAGCTATGCATATGTGGGGACAGGGGGTCTGTGAAAAATCTCTGTAATTCTCAATTCTGCTATGGACTGCTCCAAAAAATAAATTCCATTTTTAAAAATTGTTGTATATTGGAGATTATATATGATTTGATCTACTAATAGCCTTGTTACTACTGTTTCTGACCCAAGTTTTCCTTCTCCTTAACATGTCTTTCATATTGTTTCTAAGGTAAATCTTGGCAAATCATAAATATCTTTGAAAGTTTCTCATTTCTAAAAGATAAAGACTACCATATGTCAGGTGATGCCAAACCCCTTTGCCTTTAATTTCATTTCATGCTTAAACCCTAATTCAGTTAAGGTGGTGCAGACTATTTATCAGTGTACTTGGAGGAAGGCTCGGTGTTGATCTTCCAATTTGAATTTAACTCTTGGGCTACATTGTTTTCCTATGGCAATTCTGAAAGATGATTGATGTGTGAATGCGGATGCCACAGACACCAAATGGAGACTACACAAGCATAGCTCATTTGTTTGGCCTTCTGCTATGGCTCATTTGTAGACTCTGTGGCTGTTTATGGTTTAGCTGAGGATGCCTGATGCCTGTATTCACAGAGCCATGTTGCCTCTGTGGGCTGAACACTATGCTAGTTTGTCTGCAACATTCCTTCCAGAGTGACCCAGCTGTACCACAGGGTTATAGCTACTTTCCATCATGTCGTTAATAGTTATCTCTGCTCACCCACACCAGCTCACTAATTTATCCCCATCCACACTGCTTGATCCTGAATAACTGAGGACTATGATGGTCTGTGCTATCACCTTCAGAATTTCAAGGCCAGATTTGTAACATGGCATAAAGCTAGCTAGATTTTGAAGGAACAACGAGAAAACTATCTGAGAATTCCCTCTCTTCACCTCTGATTACTTGAGTCCTTGTTACAGGTCATCCCACTCCCATAGCTATCCCCTCCCTCTTCCAACTTGCTGACCACTGGCTCCTTTCCATCCACTTTCAGATATGTGGAGGCTTCCCTTGTCTTGGGAAACCAATACACACAAACACCTGTGCTTGACTGTTTGTCTCTACTCCTTCCTACAAGCGCAGTCCAATGTTTTGCCTACCTTTACCACCAGCTTTTTAAAGTGGCATACAGTGTCAGATGCTCCTAATTCCTCTCCTTTTAACTCCCTCCTAAACAACTGACCAGAATTAGAAGGTCCTCTCCCTTTGTCAGGCACTGTTCAAACACTTTAGAAATAATAATTCATTTAATTATTTGTAATTGGTACTCTTATCATCTTCACTTGAGATATGCGGAAACTGAGGCATAGATAGGTAAAATAACTTGCCTAGGGTCACCTCCAGGTGAGTGACAGAGTTTGAATTCAAATGCCAGGAGTCTAGTTCCGGAACACAGGTCCTAACCACACTCTACTGCCTCACTCCCTCCAAATTCTGTAATTGTTTTTCATTCCTGTGCTAATAAAACTAGTCTCTTAGAAACTTTTGGTATATGCTCTCATCTGGTATTGTAGTACTCAGGCTAGACATACCTGTACTGCATATTAAGTTCTAGAATTGACAAACCTCCCCCTGCTTTTTATGCAAGTATAATGATACTTCATTAAGCTGGAATGAACACATTATTCTGATAAGGGTATAACTAAATTTTGTATTGTTCGTGACATAAAATAGAGTTAATTGGTCAAATTAATAAGCAAAACATATAAGGTAGTAGGAGAAGCATTTGACCTACTCAAGGGGGAAAATATAGATAATTTTAGAAATACAAATCCAGGCTTCTGATGTCAAAGGAGTCTTTCCTGATCCAGATAATAAATAATATGTATAATGCACTTCTTGATTCCTGGCTTGCAGCAGTGTATACCCTAGCTGGGAAGGAATTGAAATAACAAGAAATAATAGAAAATGGCACATAGTCACAGTCCAGAGCATAAGATGGTGATGTTCACCATCATCTACTTTGTTAGAATTTACAGCCTATATTCTGAGCATTGGCAAGTTCTTCTTAGGCACCATGCCACCAAGAGAGTAGTGATCCCTGTGGGCATAAAGGAAACTGCACATTTTAAAGCTAAAAGGAGCCTTGGAGATGATGTAATCCAACTCTCTTATTTACGGATGAGGATATGAAGCCACTTTTTTTACAGTCAAAAATCTGGAATCTAGCTTCCTCTTTCTGCTCTATCACTAGGCCCAGTAATAGATTTGTAGATTTAATCCCCGCATAAATACCCTAGAACATACCTTATTCAGCAAATGCTTGTTTCTTAAAAAAAAAATAAGAGTGTGGATAACTGAGCAGGGTTAAAAAACTAAAACATGTGAGCTGGGCCAATTACACCACTCAGTGAGCCCCACAAGAGCAGAGATTTTCATGTTTCTGTTTGTTGATGGAACCTCAATGACTAAACCAGAGTCAGCTACAACGTGGTTTAATTACTATGTGGTGTTTGAATGAACGATTTCTTCTACATGTTTTTATATACAATGTCTATAAGTGAGTAGATATTATTTCTATTTTATAGATGAAAAAAAAATTTAAGCTGAGTGAAGTTGACTTGCTCAAATCTAGACCTAGAACCAGAACTAGAAACCAGGCTTTTGGTGTCTAATACACGATTTAGTTGTAAAAAGATAGCTTTCATAAAAAAATTTATTAGTTATTCTGTACAGGGAATACAGATAGATTTGTCACTTCAGCAGAATTCTGAGGAAATGGGTATAGCTGGCACGTTATCTACTGTCATTATTTACTTGCTGGTCTTTTGGGTGTGAGCCTTCATTTCTAGTCCGGGGCCTGCTATATCACACTAACAACAAAAATAAACCGTTTCCCCTACTTACTTTCCAAAGTTTCCTTCCTTTCTTATCTTTCCTCTCAGAATTCAAACTGCCTGGAGAAACAAAGTGGGTAGGCCAGGGACTCTCCTTCCAGTGATCATTCTCACAC